CTCCCCGGGGTCCGCCCGCAGCCGCGCCCCGGACTTGACGCTCACGGCCTGCCCGGCGGGCGGCCGGGCGGTGGTGGGTGCGGATCCCACCCGGGGGAATCACCGCGTCCCTCCCGGGAAAACGACCTCCGTCAGCACCCCGCGGCTCAGCGGAACCTCACTCGAGGAGGCCCACTCGGAAAAGAAAAAAAAGAAATTGAAAAGCTCTAGCACCCCCGAAACAGGATGACAATACGGAAGCAGATTTGACTGGCCTTTTTAGATCCCTCAATAAACAATAATAATAATTAATAATAATAATGATGCTCCTCCCCCACTCCTTTAGGATCGGCAGCTTGGCAAGGTTTTGTTATGGTTGAAGGAAAGGGGCAATTGCTTGATCAAATGAACAATCTTATCCTAAAATCATCCCCAAACGGTGGTCAGCGCCCGTTAAAGAAAGCAGAACGATCCCCGTGAGAAATGTCCCCACGCGCACCTCCGTAACCCCAAACCCACCTCTGCGTGGATCGCTCTCCATCAAGTTAGTTCGGCCCTCAAAGGCTAGTTTCCTCGCTCCTGGAGACTAGGAAATCAACAGAATGGCCCATTTCAGCCCACGTAAGCATAGAACCGTAGAATTTGAGATGAAAGAACCTTGATGGACTTTGCTCTAAACACCTACCCTAAGGCAGGAGTTCAAAGAAGTTTAGCGCTGTGACCAAAGCTAGGGAACGAAGCCTTCCTTTCCACTCCCTCTCTCCGCCACTTCCTAGGAAGCAACTGACTCTCCAAGCCACGCACCCTGCCGCAAACCTGTTTCGGGTTAGCTGGGCTACTTTTGTTCTGAACTGATGTCTTTCTAAGCTTTTGACAACCCCAAGCACCCTCCTCTCAGGAATTGGAAGGGCCCGCCTGCTGCCTTCTTAATCTTCACAAGATAATTGAGTTTACCTCAAATGTACTTATCTCCAGACATTTTCTGTTGCAGCATCTGGGCCAGGGCAAAGGGAGTGGTAACTTGTTGTCCAGAAAGTTCCCACCCTTTCAGAATCTGACGCTTTTCAAACTGAAGAAGGGGAAAAAAAGAAGCCTGTTTGGGGGTAAATCTTTGAAAAGCCAAAAAGGTTGACTATGCCCTGAAGCTGATTTTCAATGAAGGTGTTTTCCAGGTAGGAAAGATAACCAGTTGAGAAATCAAATAATGACTTTTTCAAGAGACAGCATCATAGCAGCCGTTGCTATTTAGGATTTAGTTGCTTTTTGAGTTAAAACAAAAAGGAGAATCAAAGAATAAAATTATTACTCAAAAAAGCTACAACAAAAAAGTCTATTATGGGCTGGGGAGGTGGCTCAGAGGTAGAGTGCTTGCTTTGCATGCATGAGGCCCTGCGTTCAATTCTTTAGCACCACATAAGCAGAAAAAGCAGGAAGTGGCACTGTGGCCCAAATGGTAGAGTGCTAACCTTGAGCTGAAGATCTGAGGGACAGCACCCAGGCCCAGAGTTCAGGCCCCACAACCGACAAAAAAAAAAAAAAGAAAGAAAAAGGAAAAAAAAAGTCTATTATCCCAGGCACTGGTGGCTCAGGCTTGTAATCCTAGCTACTCTGGAGGCAGAGATCTGAGGATAACAGTCCAAAGCCAGCCCTGGCAGGAAAGTCCGAGAGACTCTTATTTCCAATTCACCACCAGAAAACTGGAAATGGTGCTGTGGCTCAAGCGGTAGAGAACTCACCTTGAGCTGAAGAGCTGAGAGACAGCACCCAGGCCCAGAGTTCAAGCCCCATGACCAACCCCAAAGTATGAAACAGGGAAAATGTTCCACTAGAACTTAGCATTTTAGATTTTTTGCAAACATTGCTTGTACCTTCTAATGGATGGCTTCTATCCTCCATATTTGTGGCATTGCTATATAAAAAACTTGAAAGGGAGTAAAGATGCTTATTTTTCCCCTTTCTACTACTATACATTACAATGCTCCCTTCACTATAAATTCTAGGAAGGTAGTCTTCCATTTTTATTTTTAGATGTTACATTGCTTGGGGCTGGAAAGGTGACTCAGTACCAGAGTGCTTGCCTTGCATTCATGAGGCCCTGGGTTCAATTCCTCAGCACCACATAAGCAAAAAGAAAAAAGCTGGAAGTGGCGCTGTGGCTCAAGTGGTAGAGCGCTAGCC